GATAGATAGATAGATAGATAGATAGATAGATAGATCGATAGATAGATTGAACCCTCCACCCCTATCATTTGAGGAAACTGCTTTAGAGTTTTTATTTTGCTTAAAAGTATAGTTTCCACAAATGACTGGGGTGGTCAAAGAATATTCTATGGTGTCATGGCCACCATTGGCCACCCTCTGCCTCTGCAGCTGGTGGTGGATAAAATGGCTCCCTCCAGGATACGTCTCTCTGCAGAAGAAAACCTCCCTCTGTTCTTACAGTGTATCTCCTCCCCATTTGAATATCTTGCACCAAAAACATTTAGGTTTACTCCCTTCTCTGTTCAGTTCCAGTCCAGAAAAACACTCGTCTTTAAACTGCAAACATTCACTCTTCAAATCCCTCAGGCAGAAATATTCACGTACTGCTTGTATTTCAGACATTTCATCCTAAGAACCCATTGATACGATATTTATTTATCATATTTTAACAAAATTATATTGTTGCTCATTTTTCTACGACACAACCTGCGACTAAACGCTGACGTGACGAACCTCCCTGTCTGCTCCTCAGACTTTTGTTGTTTTTATTAATTTACTTTATCACTGGACTTGAAAACATCTTTTCCATTTAGTCGTGTCGTGTTGGCTTCATTTGTCAAACTTTGTCGTCCTGGTGGACGTTCTGCAACTCAACAACAAGCGAGACGTCTCCTCTTGGTCTTTTACTTTCGCTTCCCGTTAGATTTTAGGAAATGAAAATGTCGGCGCGAGTGTCGTAAACGTTCACGTTTACCTTGACGTCTGTGCAAACACGTTCGTTGTTCCGATGGTTACCAGGAGCCTCGACTCAGAACAAAAATACGACGGATTTAAAATGATAGCAGAATTTTATCGTCTCTTTCGACGTAAATTAAACTCGATACGTTTGCTTAATTTGTTTTTATTATTAGAGCCCAAAAAACTGAGTTGTGAGAAAAACTTTGTCCTTTTATTTATTTTTTCACTTCCTCAGCTCAAGTCTCATATTCATGTCAGATTCTGTACAATTTGTGTTTTTGATTTTGTTTTTTCTTTATTCCTTTTGATATTTACTTCCTGTAGTTTTCCTCGTGTTCACCTTCAGTTCTTTTCAAGAGTCTTTGCTCCTCCCACTCACACCTGCTCCCTGTTCGTATTAGTCTCAGCTGCACACACTTACCTCATCAGCCTCAACCTGTTCAGCCACCTGCAGATAATAATAATAATTATTATTATTATTATATTTTAAGTTTCTTGTTGTTTTTTGCTTATTGCAGTCTTACTTGAGCTTCTCGGGTTTATCTGGGTCGTACCTCACCAGAACCTGACAGTTTGGCTTCTTTTGGGTCTTTGTTTGTTTTCAGGCCAAACGTTTTATTGAACTGTTCACCAGAATCCATTTCAATCATAAAGTCACATTTAGTGGAGATTTTATGAATCAGACATCAGAACTCTGTAGTTCTTAAGAAACATAATCTGCAGTTGTTTTTTTTCATATCGGTGGTTAACGAGTCCTTAAATTACATTTTTTTTAGGCTATATTTGTGAAATGACAGAAAACGTGTCAACAATGTCCACAAAGAGCTGTCTGAGATGGAGACGTCTGACAGTTTCGATGTGCTGGTTTGAATTTACTCTTAGATTTGTGCAGCAAAGCAAAGAGACGTCAGGTTTGAACAGTAATCTTACGGGTGTAGAAGAAGTTTTGTGTGTTTGAACGCCGAGCTCCATCTTTAGGGATCCGCCCGCCGTCCGGCTTGATGCCCATGTTTATTAGTGTGCATTGAAAATGTGATTCTCCTAATTATTATTATTATCATTATTTTTCTTCGTCATCTGCTGATTTTTGCAATGAAACTAGTGCTGCATGTCCTGCTGAAGCCATTATAGTTTCTAATCGTTCGTGTGACGCTTGCTGTGACGTTCGGTGCTCGTGCCACGTACGGTTTTTGAATTATTGAGCTTTGTTTAGGCTTATTACTGCTGTGAGATAAAATGGGATGTATCACAACGGGCCGACAGCAGTGTCAACATTCATTTTAATAAACGTTTAAATTGTTATGTAAGCAAATAAAAAATTAACTATTGTGATTATTTTTAAATGTTTGAAATGTCCTTTTCAAGAATATTATCTAAAAAGTCAAATTATTCATTTTAATAGAATAATGCCAGTACGTTATTAAAATGACTAATTATGCCATTTTTAACAAAAAGTAATACAAATGTTTAAAGTTGAGTATATTTTGTAATTTGACTTTTTAGATAATATTCTTGAAAAGGACATTTCAAACATTTAAAAATAATCACAATAGTTAATTTTTTATTTGCTTACATAACAATTTAAACGTTTATTTTTCACGCTTGGTTCTATCATAGTGTACCGTATCTTTCAGACTATAAGGCACGCTTAAAACCCTTTAATTTTCTCAAAAATCAACGGTTATGATACGGTGCCCCTTATGTAATAATTCTGGTTGCGCTTAATGACCTCAAACCAATTTTTTGTGGTACACAGCGCTCAAAAATCTGTCAAAATGTTTTAGTTTTGCTTAATACACCTTATATCCGGTGTGCCTTATAGTCAGAAAAATACGGTAATTTGAGCAGAGCTTTGAAGTTTGGGTGTCCTCAATCTTCGTCCTCCACAGTCATGGTTCCAACTATGAATCACTTGAACGAATCATCCTCAATCTTCGTCCTCCACAGTCATGGTTCCAACTATGAATCACTTGAACGAATCATCCTGGTTACAGACACGAGTGATCAGACCTCACACCCAAGAGGAACGAGTCCTTTCCTGCCGACCAGACGACCTGTGTTCAAATCCCACCTCAGTCAGGTCAAGGTGGAGAAATGATGAACAATATTGATTAAATTAGTATTTAATATGTTTAACGACCCTGATTACTTGCCGTTTTAAATTTCTAATTGCTTAAAGCAGGCTATTCAGTTAAACCAGGGGTCTGCAACCTTTGTGATAAAAAGAGCCATTTTTGCCACTTTGCTTATTAATTATGACGTCCGGAGCCGTGAAACCTGCTCCAACTGTGGACTGTCGACTGGTGGCCCATGGACCACAAGTTTGTCGGAGATGGCTTTTCCAGCCAGTGGGAGTGATATTATTAAACAAAAAATGTCTAACTATTATTAACATTTATTGATATTTTTACATTTTGATACAAAAGAAAAGACCATATTCATGTAACAGGCCGATGTGAGTTCTCTTAATCGTTGAAGAATTAAGTTTCCTACTTAAAGCATAAAGTTAAAGACTGTATAAAATTAGGCCACTTTGTTGGAAATCCAGTTATATTTTTAAAGAAAAATAAATACATTGACTTTTATTTTTGTGTTTTATTCTTAATGTTATCAAAGCTACTCATATTCCTTCTCAGCAGCTTTTAAAGATATTCCAAAAAATTCTGGTGGTTTTGAGAGAAAGATTATTGGAAGTCAACTTTAAGTGGCTAACAAGCTACTAGCATGATGTAGTCCACATGTTTTACACCTTGTGTTTGTACTATCCTTCACATATTTGAAAATGACTGGAAATCTGCTAAAACTAGCCATTTTCATTGTTGGTAATGATTTAAATAAAAGTCAGTTTTATTTTAGTTTTGATCAATGTCTGAAAGAGCCGCTGCAGAGGTACCAAAGAGCCACATGTGGCCCCAGAGCCACAAGTTGCAGACCCCCTGAGCTAAACAGCTAAGAGGCTGGACATCCAGCTTTTAATTATTCTGTAAATACACCAAGAATTACAACAACCTGTTACTTTTAAACGTGTTCATTTTGCTGCATTGAATCATAAATGCAATAGACAGAACTTAAAAGTGAAATTAAAAAGACATTTCAAGATTTATTTCCATGCCACAGCTGTCTGTAGGAGGCCTGGAGCGCAGCGGTGAAGTAGTCCAGCTCCATCTGATCCGTATCGACTCGTCAGCCTGTTTACGATCAGCTTCAGGAGCTCAAGAGCTCCGCAGGCGTTCGCTTGTTGCTGCTGTCAGGATGACACTCGGTGTTCAGCAGAGTGCTGCTGCCATGTTCATGGTAATTGTCTCCCCTGGTGTAAATCTGTGTGTGTGTGTGTGTGTGTGTGTGTGTGTGTGTGTGTGTGTGTGTAAGTGCACGTCACATCCACAGACACTGACCAGCTGAAATGAATGCCGGCTGGCGGCTTATTAAAAATGCATCCTGAGGAATCGATGGACCTCCGTGCCCCGAGGCTGACGGACTAATCTCACACTGTTAATTATTTAACT